AGAGAGCTGGATCAGATATGGAACAGCTGGGATTCGAACCGGCACTCACATTGGCCCCTAAAAATAAATATTCAGCAATCAGTTTTGGATAAGACTTCTTGCAACTGGCTGCATCTCTGGCCACCAAATACTTGACAAGTTTGAGGGACATAGTTTCACATATTTCCAGTTGCTAGAAAAACACAGCAGATCAAGCTAAAGCTGACATCCCATATCAGTTGGCTCACCGGTTTGGGTCTCAGCTGCTCTGCTTCCCATCTAGCTCCCTGCTAATGTGCCTGGGAAGGCAGCAGAAGATGACCCACAGGCTTGAGTCCCTGCCACCCATAGATGGAGTTCCTGGCTCCTGGCTTCAGTCTGACCCAGCCCTGGTTGTGCAGTCATTTGTAGGAATGAACCAGGGGATGGAAGATCTGTGTGTGTGTTTGTGTGTGTGTCTTTCCCTGTCTTTCTCTGACACTGTCTTCCAAATAACTAAATAAACCTTTGTTTAAAAAAAAATACTTGTGTTGGTTTCTCAACGTTCCTTCAACCTTTTGAAGAGTTATTTGTGAAATCTGGCTCCCGACTCTGGCTCAGGATGCCCGGCATCAGGGTGTAGCACACCCCAAAAAAGTCTCAAGGGTCCATCTATCTCAGAGGCTCAGCTGAGGATTTAAAATCCCCTAGAGAAAACCAGACGCTGATGTCCTGTGACAAACGTACAGTCACCGTCGGAAAAACAAAAAACCCAAAACACTTCCTCCTCATTTAGAAGAGCTACAAATTGAGGCCCCACTTCTAGCCCTTTAAATAAAGTTCCCCCGGTCCAGGATTATTTATCATGGTTAGTGGTTGCCATCAGTCATGAAAAGTTAACAAAGACCTATTGGGTTTATCTATAGGCAGCTAAACAAACATATCTTGCTCTTCTGTTATCTTCTTGTTAACAAAGGCCTATCAGGATGTTCTAAACATCAGCATTTACTGCACATGGCCCTTTATCTAGGATGATATATAGAAAGCCCATCAATTAGTGGAGGGTTTGTAGATGCCTGCCATATATTCATGAAACTGGGCTGTTCTCGGCTCACTCTCTCTCTCTCTCTCCCTCTCCCCTATAGGGGACACATCGCAGTCTGGTTTCTAGGTGGTATCCCCTGCCTGGGCTTTGCTTCATCTCTGTTGCAGGAATTACACTGTCGGGGTACATTTGGTCCAGATGAAGGGGTGACTTTGAATCAAAGCCGGGGGCTGGTGTTGTGGTGCAATGGGTTAAGCTGCCACCTGTGATGCCAGCATCCCATATGAGCGCCAGTTCCAGTCCTGGCAGCTCCACTTCTGATCCAACTCCCTGCTATTGTGCCTGGGAAGGCAATGGAAGATGGCCCCGAGTATTTGGGCCCCTGCCACCCACGTGGGAGACCCGGATGGAGTTCCTGGCTCCTGGCTTTGGCTTGGCTAAGTCTCAGCTGTTGCAGTCATTTGGAGAATAAAGCAGCAGATGGAAGTACTCTCCTTCTCTCTCACTCCCACTCCCTCTCCCTGTAACTGCTTTTCAAATAAATAAATATTGAAGAAGGAAGGAAAGAAGGAAGCAAGCCAGCCAGCCAGACAGGTAGCCAAGGAACTGGTCTGTTCTTCTCAACATACAACCCCAGGAGACCAAGGTCCCATGCAGTAGTCTTGAAAAAAACACAGAGGGGCCGGCGCTGTGGTGCAGTGTGGTGCAGGCATTAACCCCCTGGCCTGAAGCATCGGCATCCCATATGGGCGCGGGTTCGAGGTTTGGCTGCTCCACTTCCAATCCAGCTCTCTGCTGTGGCCTGGGAAGGCAGTAGAAGATGGCCTAAGTCCTTGGGACCCTGCACCCATGTGGGAGACCCAGAAAGAGCTCCTGATTCCTGGCTTTGGATAGGCACAGCACCTGCTGTTGTGGCCATCTGGGGAGTGAACCAGCAGATAGAAGACCTCTCTCTCTCTCTCTCTCTCTCTCTCTCTCTGCTTCTCCTCTCTCTGTGTAACTCTTTCAAATAAAATAAATAAATCTTTTTAAAAAAAAGAAAAAAAAACACAGAGAAACACAAAGTTTGGTGTAAACATAGGAAGGGGGTTACCACCCACTTATTTAGCATAATCAAGCCCTGAGGCAAACACTTTCATTCTGGTGCCTTCCCAGTCTACCATGCGGTCACTGGTTCTGGTCTTGCTGCTCCTTGGGCAGGAAGCTCCTCTCTGGTTTTCTGAGCCCCACAGCACTGCCGGACTCAGTGCTGATGAACAAGGGACTTCACTGTGGTGAGGACACACTCCCTCACTTTTACCCCTTCCTCACAGTTTCTTGAAAACCTTGCCCCATTTCCACCCCTGTGCCCTTGAGCTTGTCTTTGCCCTCCTGGAATCCTGCTCTCCTCTGGGCTCCAGAAGCCGTGTAATGTCCTCTGAGACTCACATGGAGTGACTCATGGGTAGAACATTGGGAGACACTCCCTGGCACTCCTATCCCATCAGGCCACACTTTTCATGTGGTCATTGATTACCTCTAGAAAGCTTTATGGGGGCACCGCAAAACATTCATGGAGAATACAAAGGAAAGATGACATTTCTTTGGTGCAAAACAATTTCAAAGCAAAGTGTTCTCCTAACATGCATTTTTATGAACTTTTTGAAGACCCCTTCATAAACATGGATTTCAGATTTTTTTTTTTTTTTTTTTTGCATCAAAATACAGCTATCTGGGGCCGGTGCTGTGGCGTTGTGGGTTAAAGCCCTGGCCTGAAGTGCCGGTATCCCACATGGGCGCCGGTTCAAGTCCAGCTGCTCCTCTTCCGACCCAGCTCTCTGCTACAGCCTGGGAAAGCAGTAGAAGATGGCCCAAGTCCTTGGGCCCCTGCACCTGTGCGGGAGACCTGGAAGAGGCTCCTGGCTCTTGGCTTCGGATCGGCACAGCTCCCGCCATTGCGGCCAATTGGGGAGTGGACCAGCACATGAAAGACCTCTCTCTCTGCCTCTCTTCTCTCTGTAACTGTCTTTCAAATAAATAAAATAAAATAAATTAAAAAAAATACAGCTATCTGTTAGCTCCACTTTCCACAAATTCTTAAAAGTGTCCTCATACTTCTTTGTCTTTCTCCCACTCGACCTGTGGTCATCTTGAGGCCACAGAAGGTTTCCTCCTTGGTAGTTTCAAAGCTTAGCAAAGTGCCCACTAGGGGGACAAAATGCTAAAGCAAGGAAGGATGAATGAATAAATATAAATGCCCTTAACTCTATTGATACGCCTGAGTAGATACTAAAATCTGCTGGAACCTGCAGCAAGGTCACCCTCACTCCTTCTCAGATGTGGGCCATGTCTCAAGGCCCGGGCCCAGGACTCCACTCCCTCCCGTCTTACTCCTAGTCAACAGGAACCTTCTCACAGTGGGAGATGCAAGCACTCCTACCACTTCCACAGGCCCCACATTCAGCTCCCAACCTGCATTCTACTGGCTTGGAGCCTCCTTTTCAACAATTGGTGCTCTGGGGCCACTCCAGTATCCCATATGGATATGGGTTCAAGTCCTGGCTGCTCCACTTCTGATTCAGCTCCCTGCTAATGCGCCTAAGAAAGCAGTGGAAGATGGTCCAAGTCCTTGGGCCCCTGCACCCAGGTTGGATACCCAGAAGAAGCTCCTGGCTCCTGGCTTCAAAAGCCCAGCTCCAGCCGTTGCTGCCATTTGGGGGAGTGAACCAATAGACTGTCTCTCTTTCTGCCTGTAACTCTGCCTCTCACATAACAAGCAGAGAAAGCAAGCAGTGCTCACAAATGACACACGGGAAGGATCCTCTCTTATTTCTCCCTCCATTAGGGGCCCACTGCACCTAAGGGTGCAGGCACTGCTGAAGTGATGCGGGGAACACAGCCTCCCCTCCCCCGCCCCGCATCCCAACCAGGTGAATCCCCAACAATTGGCGGGCGACGATGTCTCCCGCGGCCCGAACGCAGCATCTCGGCTCTCCAGGAAGCACTGAATAGGATTAGCCCTCGGCACGTGGCATCTCCCTCCTCCAACCTCGGTGGCACCTGCAGCCTCACGAAGGCTCAGGGCTTGGGAGAGGAGGTCTACTTCTGGCGCGCTCTTCAGCGCCTCTATCAGCCACTAGGACCCCGCCCGCGCCTTCGCCCCGACACACATCTGGGCCCTGGCTAGCCCCGGAATCCACTGGTGTCTGCGGAGCCCCGCTCCCTGTCTTGTCCTGGCTTGCGGTGGCTGGCGACGGACGGGGTTGGAGTAGCCCAGTGACGGCTCCCTGTGCACAGGCCCAGGGACTACGGGCTGGCGTGGGAGCAGAGCGCTCTTGGGATGGGGTGGGGGTTGCAGCCAGCAAAGGCTATTGCGGGGGCGCCGGGGTCTGTGCTCCCACGAGAAAACAAAGCCGGGGAAGTCAGGGCAAGGTGTGGAAGACGCGGAGAGGCAGGAGGAGGGAGAGAGAGGCCTTGGCCACCAGCGGCCTTCCAAACTGCCCTTGGCTTTTAGGAGCCTCGTACGGTGGAATTAGCAGTCTGCTCGCCACGCTTTCTGGCGTGTACGCTGGTCTCTTGCGATGGCCTTGGTTGACCGTCCCCGCGGCCGTCCTGCCCGCAGCAGCCCCAGCGCAGAGAAGCGGGGCGCCAACCGCACCCGGTCCCCACCCCCTTACGCGCGCCATCGACGGGCCTGAGTCTGGACCAGGAACGTGCACCTCCAGCACGCCCCATTTCCTGGCTCAACGCGGGAAGGAAACCTAAGACCAGTGCTCGCGGCAGGTGGCTCGCTCCAGAGGCAGAGAGGCCAGCGCGGCCAGGCGGCGGGCGCTCCCGGAGGACCTGGGCCCCCAGCGGACGGCACGGACGGGAGGGCACAGGGGACGAAGCTGGGGAAGGGGTTGGGGCACTCTGATAAGGTGGGACACTAGGGGGCCGCATCTGGGAAGGGACGTCGAGAAGGAGTCCACTTGGGAAGCCGGATTCCCGTCTGCCCTTCCAAATGGCCTCTTCTTACCCCGAAGTCCAAGAGGTTGTCGGAGGTGACCGCGACGGGGCAGATGCCCCAGCGCGAGCCCGCGGCGTCGGCGTGCGGATGGCTGTTTACCCCGGGGCCCCATGGCTCTCCAGGCCGGTTATTACTAATACAGAGCCCGGACAACGATCCCCACCCCCACCCCCCCGCCCGCGACAAGTGCAAACTAGTTTCTGTGTTGGGGGAAGAAAAAGAGAATAAAAGTTTAATAAACGTGTGCGGTGTTGTGGCTGACTTTGTGACGACCTCTGCTGCAAATGGCCTATGCATGCGGAATAATGGTCTCCTTGCAGAGAGGGAAATAGCTTAGTGCTATCATCGTTGCCTCGGTAACCATCAGAGTCCCCATCTAGCAAGAGAGAAATGAGTTATGAAAAGGCTTGAGTGAAGAAGGGATTAACACATGATCCCAGGGACAGTATGTCAATCAAAATCAACTGAGAAATTACACTGCTCTATTGGTGAATTTCTCCGGAACCCGAATGGTAGTGGAGTTGGGTGCGTGGGTGCGTATCCTTTCTCTCTCTCTCTCTCTCTCTCTCTGAAGGGGAAGGTATCATCCTGATTAGTCTTCATGATTATCATTGAGAATTACAAGGAAAGGCAGGGTTACTTAAGGAGTCATCACACGCCCCCCACCCCAACCCACCCCGACACATCTGGGCACCTGGGGCTCTTGTGCCCGGGCTCTGTCCCCTCCAGAGTCCTCCATGGACCAACCCCACACCACACCGCAGCTCGCAGCTCGGGTCCGCACTTCCACCTTCCCAGCTGGAGAGGCCTGAGCCCCGAGCTCGGCCCGGGACAGACCCGCAGCTGCGCCCAGCGCGGGGAGGGGAGGAGAAGGGTCGGGGAGAGCGGACAGAGGACAGAGCGCACCGAGCTGCAGCCTTCGAAGCCACCTCTCGCCGGCTGCCTAAGGCCTCGGCTGGATTTTCAGATCCGTGTTGGGGTAATACGGATCCCGGAACATCCTCCACCCCCGCCCCCGCTAGGGAGACCCCTCCCCCGTAGGAACGAACAGGCGCCCGCGCGAGCTGATCCCCGCACACGTGACGTAGGGGTTGGGGGTCTCAGCCACCAAGAAATGAGACCCCACGTAAAGGGAAGGCGCGGGGCTTCGGTGAATCGATTTCGAATCCCGGGTGCGGTAGGCTGCGGGGGGCGGGGGTGGGGCGCCCTTCGCCCCATCTGCAGCGACTTCCGCTCTGGCCCTGGAGTCAGAACATCAGAAATCAGCCCCAGTCTACTGGGTGGCTCTCCTCTAAGGAGCCGCCTGGGGACGCCGGAAAGGCACGAGCTCCCCAGGAAGGGGCGCACTGTTCGTAGGGCTCGGGCGAGGAGTTCCGTGACCTCTCTCTCTCTTCTGGATGGAGGGGGATCAGGCTGTGGGGCAACCCGGGCACATCCCACTCTCCAGGTCGCGCGCGCCCCAGGCCCACCGCCCGCCATCATCTGGTCCAACCCGTTCCCTGGACAAGCACAGGGGAAACTGAGGTCGTCCAAGCCACACACTTGACAGGCCTAGGGACCAGGGCCCAAGTCTCTGAGCCTCCTTGAAAAAAAGAACGGGAACTTCTCTCCAGCTGGGAGCCTGGGGGGCTGGGTAGGACCAGGAGGTGTGCTGGGGCGCAGGGAGCCGACTCCGTGCGGAGCGCTCCCCTCCACCGCTGGGTGCATTCCTTCGCCCCTTCCTCCCTCCCCACGGAGTCCCACGCAAGTTTCAAGCCCCGAGCGCCCCAGTGGTGCAAGCCCCAGCGCCGCCATGACCCCGGTGCTATTTGATATTCGCCTCCCTGACACTCATTTAGGAGCTCGCGGCGGTAACGCAGACCTTGGACAAGTCCAGCCTGAAACCGTAGCCCTCTGAAAGGGGGGAGCTGGGGAGAACCTGATAGCTGGAAACTTCGTTGTCTCCAAAGGCTTTCGGGACATTTTAGCCCGGCTCCAGGTCCGCGGAGCGCCAGGGCGCCGCCAGAGCGGTGTAAACGTTAAATGTTAGCTATTTGTTCCAATGATTGGCATGAAAATCGACTCTCTCTAGTCTTCTTTTTTTCTCCCCTTCTCCCTCTTTCCTTTCCTTTCTCTTTCTCCCCCTCCGGATTCCCACAAATTCTGATCCAACCAGCGGCTCCTTGAATCCTACCCTTGGCCACCACCCAGATCAGAAGAAAATTGGCCCATTTGCAGAAAAACACCAACATCACAATGACAACCCGGCAGGAGGCCGGCAGGGAAAACTTTTTTTTGAGTTTGCTCCAGTTTTGGAGGCGATGCTATGCTACTCGTGGCATATGCTATTCACCTCCTTATTTGTCTTCTTAAAAAATGAATTTATTTTTAGTGTTTTCTTTCTTTGAAACTGAGCTGTAGAGAATGAAGTGTGGGTGTCATATTAGGAATTCGGGAGTGAGGTGCTCTTTATGAACAAGAGACAAACAGATGGGCAGATAAGGGAGTCACCTGGGGTCCCCAAGTTCCAGTTTACTGCTTAAGGGGAGCAGATCTCCCATCCAGAAACGGCACACTAACCACACTGCCCACAGAGGGGTCCCTTCCCCACCCCCTCCTCCCAGTCTCACCTAACCGCGAGCCTGCACTCTCTAAATGATAATACATTTGTCCCAGTCTCTTCCTGTTCCATTTGCCCTGGCCCGCTCTACCCAATTGCTCTGTTTATCTTCTCTGTTCTATCACTACCTGTGCTTTCTTCCAGCATAACCTTTTCAAACCCTGATTAGTGCAAGCTTCATTCTCCTCACTCCTGCTTTCTCCCAAACTTCCTCCCCTCTCCCGCCCCCGTCTGCCTCCTTCTTAAAAAGATTTTTGGAGCCGGCAAGATAAGATATGCAATCCTCTATCGGGAATCCTGTGATATTAAAGATCAAACGTGGCATCAATGGAAGACCAAATGCAGAGGGAAACAAAAGGGGGAGGCTGGGAGATGCTCATCAGCTAATTACAGCTGCAAATATTATGCAAATTTATCTTGGCACAGAAATGGAGAAAGCGAGTTTAAGTGCGGAGATAATGCCGGAAAATTGAATGTTCATCTGGGCATGGGAAGCGGCCCAGTAGGCTCCACTGGTCTGTTTCATCTAGGGAAGCACCGTTGTCACACTCCTATCAGATCATCTGCACTTCACTGGTTGGGGCTGAGAAATGAATATTACTTATAATTGATACTTGAAATTCTTGGAGTGATGCGTCATAAAGAGGGAAGAGAGGAAGGGAGGGAAGGGGTGAAGAGAAAGGGAAGAGGAAGAGGAGGAGGAGAGGGGAGTGGTGCCACTGGGAACATAGAACTGGAACTAGAAGTTTCAAGTCCTCCTTACGGAGGCCAATGGGAACTGGAAGATCAAGGGAACCGGGAAACAGGGTGTTACTCTATCTCCACCTAAAACCTGAATGATCTTGAATGATCTGTGTAATTAATTTTTTAAAAAACAAAAATCTGCAATTATTTGACTGCCTACTTTGCTTGAGAGTGTGACTAGGGGTGGAGGGGACCCTTGGGTACCCCCAAGAGAGGAGAATTCCAAGGTGGGATCTAAGGAGGGGGAGGGAGGGATCCTCATCTCTGCTTCTACCCCCAAGAGCACCCCTACTTCTTCCAACTCAACGGCTTCCTGTCAACATTCTTCAACCTACTCCAGAACCTCCTGGAAATTTGAGTCCAGGAAATAAACTCCAAATCCTCACTCTTCAAAAGTAAATGCTGCTAAACCTAGGGCAGAAAGATAATAGGGACTACACTGAATTCTTCAAAAAATTAAAAATTAAAAATTAAAAAAAAAACACCCTCCCACCTCCCAGTACAAAATCTACAGCAACCTGGAGAAACCTGGAGAATTTCAGACAAGCAACATTCGGTGCCAGCCATCCAATTGCCAAGAAATTATGAGCTGACGTCAGGAGGAACAATTGGAAGGCGAATATGTATGAATCTCCCCGCACTGGTTTGCATATTTGCCACGATTGTTTAATCCAAGCAACCAGAAAGTAATCAACAGGCACAGAAAAGCTTAAAGAGCACATTAGCGACGACTCCTGCCCCTGTGCCTTCCCGCAGCCCCGGGGTGTTGCTGGTGTTGTCAGGAACGCCTGGTGTAGCCTTGGATTCTGAAATGGGTTCTGTAAGAGGCAGCCTGTTGCATTTAGATGGCTTTTGTTCCTTTGGCCGGTAGGACATAAGACAAAAGAAACAAACATGCCAATTATTGAAACTAATTAGCCATTAAATGAGATGTGTGTCTTCTTCTAACTCTAAAATGGAGGGAAGTTAATAAGGATAGGTGGGGGAGGGGGCAGAGCGGGGAGATCCCACCCACCTCTGTTCCCTAGGAAAAGGAAACCAACACATATGCTGCATGTGTTAATAGACAAAGCCAGGAGAGTTGAATATATATGTGTGTGTGTGTGTGTGTATGTATATATGTGTGTATGTGTATATACATACACACACATACTTTTAGAAATAAGAGCAGTGACTCTGGAGGAGAAACTAATTTTTTTTCTTGTTTACTTAGAATGGGACTGCGGTGGGTGGGTTAGTTGGGGTGGGAGTTGCATGTGGGAGACAGAGAAAATCTCAGAAAAATGAGCATTATTGGTATCTTTCTATATAAAGATGCAAATGGCATTTTATCTTAACTTGGCCCTGTGCTTTAGTCAGTGTTTATGATTAATTATCTCCTTTTTCATAAAAATAAATCATGTTAAAAATTAGGATCTCGGCACTGGGGAGAAACTAAGTGCTGGTTTCAGGTCGATCTTGTTAATTTCAGCCTGAAATTGACACACTAATTAAAGAGCAGCGTGGTAAAGCACGAGCAGGCAAGATTATACCCAGCTCTTTTTTTTTTTTTTATCAGATCTACCTTATATTTTCCCAATTAAAAACTGCAAAAAGCAGTTTCATTGCCCCAGGATAAAAATAAGGGCCCCCTTTTCACAACGTTGGCCATCACTTTCTACCATCAGATTCATTGTGATGTATTAGATGCAATAAATTATCCCATGTAACAAAACATTGGGAGCTGAAAGGCAGATAATCTGGAAAGCAGAGATAAGGATTCATTATTCCAAATCATTATGAATCCAACGTTGCCTCTGACTTCTTTCTTAATCAGCTCCTCTGATCCTGGATATGTGAGCAGCACAGATAAGGAAAGAGTCGTTTATAATTCTCCACCTCGTCTAATATTTTAAAATAAAGTCAGAGGCAAGAAAACGCCATAAAACACTGGTGAGCAGGCAAGCGCCGAATGAAAAATCACTTCCATGTTATTATATCCACAGTAAGATTTAATTAAAATTCTCCACGTCCACGTGCTTTATTTTCAGATAGGATTTTTTCCCATCACGTAATAATTGATAGGAATTTGCAAACGGGGCTATTTATTTAGGGCGCCTGGGTGGAAGAGGTCTGATTTTTTTTTTTTAAATTTCCAGTGGTTGCTTTTCAAACTTTCATTTGAGACGTCCATAGTTCCACATTACCCAGGCCCCCATTGCACACCTCCCATACCCCCATCAAGGCTGCAGTTCTTGGTAAGGAAAACAGGGGAAGTTCTGAAAGTTGAATGTAATAAAATGTTCTGTTGATTTAAAAAAGAAGAAGCAAGGAGAATGCAAGGACTGAGTTTGTCCCCATGGCGTGCCTTATTGAAACCCTTCCAATGCCCCCACTTTCCCCATACATTTATACTAAAACAAATCTCAATGAGTGGAATTGAAAGATTAGAACTTTTAAACCGAGGCGAATACTGAGTGTGGGTTTTCATCTGGCAAATTTACTTTAAAGACCTAAACTGATCTGAAAGTAGATACAGCGAGATAAAAAGCAAAACTGAGAAGTCGGGTGAGGCTGAAGACTGATGGTCAGAAAGAAAACATATTTTGTGTGTTTTAAGGAAAAGAAATGGGATGTCGGGACCCTGCAAGAATAAATACGGCATGTGGGTCCCTCAGCCCTCCAGAGAACACATCTAAGTGATCACGCATTCTTAGAAAGATTGGCAATTCTGCCAATGACTTCTTCCTACAGGG